ATATATATATAAATGTATCCTACTTGGTCTAAAAGATTTTTGTATGTTGTTTTCCTGCGGAAGTTGCTTTTTAGTTTAACAGTTAGTATGTGTGTAACTTGAATGCTGAGAGCATTTTCTGATTAAAGAATTACCACTGCTCTTCTGCTCCAGTAATTTAGAGCCTGATTTTTGCCATTCCAACTTGGATTGCTGAAGATAACTATATGGAGCTTTTAAACTCCAGGTTGGCAGCTTGATTCTGTTTGAATCAGAAAGTAGGTACCATCTTGTGACTGTTTTTCATCCTTCCGTGAGTGAGCTGTGGCTCAGTCCATTTCTTAGGGGATAGACAATCATGTCATACTACAGCAGCTAATCATGGTGTACATTTTTAGCAGGGTCTTAAGGACCAAGTTAAGTAGACATTTTCTTGCCACCAGCACAAGCCTTCTGGGACAATGTGTAGCCATAAGAACAGGGCAATAGGAAGAAGCTTGTGTATTTTAGCGATGGTGATAAATGAAAAAGTTCAGAACTCTTCATGTGGTATCTTTTTCTGAATGTAAATACACATCAAAAAATAAAACTTCACACTTGGCAGATGGTTAGTCTTTGGTGAGAGTTAGTTGCTCAACCATTATGTACTGTGATTTGAATTTGCATTTGAACATGCAGCCTGACAATTAGTCAACTGACTCTTCAGTTACTAAATTCTTCCAACCTTTGCTTTCCTACAGACAATCTTATAATTCCTATCCGTTTAAGCATACTGGGGCTTTACTGTGTGTTTCAATAACAGTAAATAGTTTTGAGCTCTTAAAGATTAACTTTTTTTTAATCCATTTTAATTTCATACAGTAACCAGAAAAATTACACTGAGTGAAAAAAGGCTTGTGCTGAAATATGTTTGGCAATTTGGCCGGATCACAAAAACAATATCCGTTTATCTTACACAATAAGTTATTTAAAGTCTGTAGTGTATGAAAAGAAGCAGATATTAAACAAAATTGTCGAAAAGCATTTGTAGTTGGCCACAAAATGTTAGTGCATACCAAAGTTTGTCATCAGTATGTTAGCATGTATTAGGTTATCTTTATACTTGTGGCAACAAAGAGTCATGTTCTGAGAAGAAAAGGCTAATAGACTTCCTGTGCTGTTGTTTTACAGCTTCGTCGTATGCAAGAGATGATTGCAAGAATGCAAGCTCAGATGCAGATGCAGATGCAGAGCGGAGAGGAAGAAAGTGCAGTACATGGACACCATGTATAAAATCTTGGTAAGACTTTCACACTATTGATGTAAAGATTTCCTGAGATTAAAAAAAATCCTTTTGTTATAGATGTTTCAAGGAATTGGCAAATAATCCTAGCACAGGAGCTTGCTTTTTTTTTTTTAAGAAATCATTCTTAGTACTTCATACTGATATTTGAAAAAGTTTACGCAGGTGCTTTTGAAGGGGAATAGCTCCAATATCTGGAAGTCATTATGTATGTGTAAATCTTCAGGCTTAATTGGGTATTATTTTTAATGGAAAAGGTACTAGGAAAACTAGATTTTATTCAATTTGGTAGAAAGTGTGGTAGTAATGTGTATGGGGGGTGATAATGTGTCAGGGGGACAGTCCTACTAAGAACCAGAGGAAACTGATAGTGAACCTAAAGGCTCACTAGTATGCAGTTCTAATTTATCTAAACACTTACTTTGTGTATCATTTAAGTCCACCTTTTTTATTTGACTTTTCTGGAAAAAAGTAGTTATTCCAATGTTTTGAGCAAATGTTGATTTAAGATGGCTAACCATTAGTAGTCATAAATTTAACATGGCCTAGTTGGTTAAATGGCATCAGTAAATTTTGATTTACATCTGTTCATAGTTATTGCACAACACTCCATGTCAGCAAATTTTAGCTATGCCATTATGGTCTGTGCATTCATGACTTTTAGGACTGGTTAATGCAATATACCACATAGTTTTTTATTCTTATCACCAACTGATTCAGAACACAGCAGCACTATTTGAAAAACACCCCAAGCCATCAAGAGCAAAATTGCTCTGTTGCACATCTTGCTCTATTTGTTCCTTGATGAATAACAATCAAAGCCAAAGTTTTTGTTGTTGACTTTAAACACTTCTGTTGGACTGATCCGGATTACTCAGGGCATTGCTTCACCTTGCATAAGCTTGGTCTCCAGCAGCTTTCCACTGGAACAATAAAGCCAACTTTGCTAGTGAAACTTGGTAGTATATCCTGTATCTTGAAGAAATTGTTGAACCCTGCTCTAACCTCTATAGTAGTACCAAAAAAAAAAATCTCATTGACTTGGAAATGCAGGTGAGAGAAAAAAAAACAGAAATGTAATGAGTTCTGATTTTTGGGACAGGTGCAGTATGAATATAGAATGTATTGTGCTT